CTGTGGAATTGAGTTAACTCTTCGGGCATTTTTGCATATGCAGATTTTGTGTTTGTTTTTGTGGTTCTAAAGTTGAAATGCCTAAATCTGTGTTCACATTTTAGACTCATTTCTTACAATAGAATTCCAGAAGTTGAACAACCAATGAACAGTTGTTGATACCTAATGCTAAACTGTTTCAAAAGTTCCTCTTAATAGGAGATTTAAAAGAAGGCTAATTGGTAATAGTTACAGCTTTGTAAAGCTATTAAATAATGCTTCACTCAGATTCTAGCTTTTAAATGAAATACAGGATATAAAAGGAGGGAAAGTTTGAACAGAATGTGAAAGCTTTCTCCCCTCCCCATTCTCTATTTTCTGTTCTTCCTGAGTTAAGAATGACTTAATTTTTGGTGTAAGCCTGAGCAAGCTAATATTTCCTTATTTTTGTAGGATATAGAGGACTTGGATCACTACGAGATGAAGGAAGAAGAACCTATTAGTGGAAAAAAGTCAGAGGATGAAGGAATTGAAAAAGAAAATTTGGCAATATTAGAGAAAATTAGGAAGACTCAAAGGCAAGACCATCTAAATGTAAGTATATATACATATCTAGAATCTGGACTTGTGTGGTTAAGCATTTATAGGACATAATATGAATGCAGGGCAGTTCGTTAAGATACTAATCTCAGCTGCCCTCTTCCATCCTTACCTTGGCTGTGGGTGGACTCAGCCATATGTTTTGTTGCTCCAGTTTTGTGTGGTGGTGGTGGTTTGTTTTTTAACCTTTCTCATCTTTTGAGAGCTGCTTTCTGCCCTGATCTCCCCTTTTTACACATTGGAATCATCTACCGTTCATTGTATATGCCTCTTTCCAGCCTGTCCCTACGGTTTTCTCTTCTTACCTTCCTCCTATGGGATCAGTATATTTAAATCCAGTCTCTCCTTTTGAAGCCCCATTCAACTTCCTTCTTCTCCATGAAGCTGCCATCTGGTCTGTCCTGCCCTGACTAAACCAAAAGTAATTTTTTCTTTGACTTTAACTCTCTTATGTGAAGCTGCATGGGGTAGTGAAATGAACACTGAGTTTGGTGATAAGCAGCTGTGTGGCTTAATTTTCCTCAACTCTAAAACTTGAAGTGTTACCTTTTGGATGATTGCTGTGAAAAATAGATGATAATGATGTATATAAAATGCCCAGACAGAGTCGGGAGACATCAAATGAGAGTCTAATTGTTTGTTTCAACACTTACTACTTACTGACTGTCTTCTGTGAGAGATGTTTGTCAACCCCATGAAATCTGAGTTCCAGTTCCTTTGTCTTGGGCACAGGTTCTCAAATACAGGGAATGAATTGTTATGCAAAGAGATGCCAAGTGTTAATAACAGGTAGATATCTCTCCCTCCTTCAGTCTAACTATGTTAATTTGATTGGCACAAGGTTTTGTTTTTTTTTGAGAGCAAAGAAATTTAGTCCAGCCCCTATCTTTTTTTTTTATTAAGATATCATTGATATATAGTCATATGCTCAGGTTTCACATGAGGAACATTGTGGTTACTACAATTATTATTATCCCCCTATTAATCAAATCTCCACCGCTACCCCATTACAGTCCCTGTCCTTCAGCATAGTAAGATACTATAGAGTCACTACTTGTCTTCTCTGTTATACTTCCTTCCCCATGCTCCCCGCTACATTATGTGTGCTAATCGTAATGCCCCTTAATCCCCTTATCCCTCCCTTCCCACCTACCCTCCCCCTGCCCAAGTCCCTTTCCCTTTGGTAACTGTTAGTCCATTCTTGGGTTCTGTGAGTCTGCTGCTGTTTTGTTCCTTCAGTTTTTGCTTTGTTCTTATGCTCCACAACTGAGTGAAATCATTTGGTACTTGTCTTTCTTCCCCTGGCTTATTTCACTGAGCATAATACCCTCTAGCTCCATCCATGTTGTTGCAAATAGTAGGATTTGTTTTCTACTTATCCCAGCCCTTATCTTGATTACTTAAAAAAAAAAATTCCTGCCACTTTAAATTAATGATACTTACTCTACTTTCTGTATCTTGTGATTGCTTCCAGTTTGTATATTATAGTCAGAACAACTACAAGTCATTGAACACTTTCTTTCACATGACAAGACACTAAGCTAGTACTTTAAACTTTGAATACTTTCCCATTTAATCTTGATACTCACTGTGAAATATTCTTACTATTCTATAGATGTGAAACTGGGATTTAAACCACTAAGTAATGTATTCAGGGTCACACAGTGAGGAAGTAATATCTTTGTGAGCATGATGCCCACCTCTGCCAAAGTATAGTGCAATTATTAACATTTTAAGTTCTACGTGATTGAATTTTTTTTTTTAATCAAAGGCATTCTAAACGTTTTTGTCTCATAATAAATACATCCATTCATATTTGGTCTTAGGGTAAGATACTGGTGCATTTTCATCTTTAGAGAAACTCCCAACACTGAAAAAAAACAAAACCAGGCAAACATGCTTCTTAACATCTTAATATGTAAACTAGACCTTCTGTATAACATTCTTGCTTATAGTCTGATTAATGGAACTATGCTTTAGTTAATAATGTGTCATGGTGGGATCTTCTAGTATATTCAAAATTGATGAGGCCACTGTACATCTATTAAAATGTCCAAAATCATGAACACTGACAACAGAAAATGATGGTGAAGATGTGGGGCAACAGGAACTCTGTTACTAATTGCTGTTGGGCTTGCAAAATGGTTCAGCCACTTTGGAAGTAAGTCTGGCAAATTCTTAGAAAACTAGACATACTTATACCATATAATCCAAATAGTTGCATTCCTTAGTGTTGACCTAAATGAATGGGAAAACGTTAAGTTCACATAAAAACCTGCACATGCATATTTATAGCAGCTTTATTCATAATTGCCAAAACTTGGAAGAAACCAAAATACCCTTCAGTAGGTGAATTGATAAATTCTGGTACATCCAGTTAATGGAATATTATTCCCTAACTGAAAAAGAAATGAGCTATATAGTCATGAAAAGACATGGAGGAACCTTACTGTATTAGCTGTATTTCTAAGTAGAAGCAGCTAATCTGAAAAGGCTGTATACTCTTTGTTTCCAACTATGTAACATTCTGGAAAAGGCAAAACTGGAGACAGTCAAAAGATCAATGTTGCCAGGGATTGAGGGTGGGAGAAAGGATAGGCAGAGCATGGGAGATTTTTAGGGCAATGAAAATACTGTGTATGGTATTTAATAGTGGATTTATGTCATTATATATTTGTTCAAGAATGTACAGCACCAAAAGTGCATCATAAGGTAAATTATGTCCTTTTGGTGATAATGTGTCAATGTAGGTTCATCAGTCTTAAGAAATATACCCTCTGGTGAGAGCATTTGATGATGAGAGAGACTTTGCATTGTAGGGACAGGTATATGGGAAATTTCTGTACCTGCATGTCAATTCTGCTGTGAATCTAAAACTGCTCTAAGAAATTAAAACCCTAAAAAAAAAAATTAAAATTAAAAAAATTGATGGAGTTTGAAGTAGACTCATACTGTCTTGTTTTAGGCTAGTGTATAGGCCATGGTCATCTGGATGTATTAGACATCATGCTAGACTTGTTTTTATTGTTTTCAGATGATAAGAAACAGTAAATGAATCAGACTTGCCCCTAATTTTGTAGTCCTGTTGACATTTCATAATCCTTGATTAATTGAACTTTATTTTTTGACTTCTTAAAATGTTGAGTGGTGATCCATTTCTATAATCTCAATGTATACTTTTATATCATTTTCAAATACCTTAAATCTTTTTGATTCAGTAGATCCTGGTAAACAGCAAATTTTATGTTTCAGGGTGCAGTGTCTGGGTCTGTGCAAGCTTCAGATAGACTTATGAAAGAGCTCAGGGACATATACAGATCACAAAGTTATAAAACAGGTAAGGACCTCTGGATCTCTGCTATCTC